CTAATAAGTGAGGACTTGCAAACTGTTGCGAAAATATACATCGATCTCAAATAGGTGAGGACTCACGAATTGCCTTGAAAATATAAGCCGCTTCAATAAGTAAGGACTTACGAACTGCCTTAAAAATATATGTGCGAGTCTGATTAAGCGAGAACTTACAAATTGCCTCGAAAGATAGTTAACCATATAATTTATCGAAATTTCCACGGCATCACCTCTGTAATATGGACTAAAAAAACATGAAATAAAATACAATATCTCCACAGCACAAATAAAAAATAATTCGGGCCCCATTTGATTCCTTCAACTACTCACGACGATAATGTGAAAAATAGCAAATCAAGCTTCTCTAAGATACAATATAGAGAGCCTATAATGTATCATAGTCGATAATAGCTATCGATAATTAGAAATAATGTAGATAATATGACATTCGTGTCGACATCAATAATATAAGACATAAATAAGATAATGTTACTAGAATATTAGTATCACAAAATCCAATGAAAAAACATATTATTTTGTTTTTGACTTATCGTGCAACTTTACAAAGTAGATTTGGCACTATTATATATTGGGAAATCCTATTTCGTCATGACAGTCAACGTAGATTTTTATGTATGAAAATAGACACTAGCTTGACATGGTGGTTTGACTAAAACAATTTGTAAAGTTCAGTGACGTAAGTAACATTAAGCTCAAAATTTCGAGAAATAAGACCTCGAAAAGTCAATTATTCGAATGCAGAGCTTTTGAAACACCCGTCGATAATATACCAAATCGAGTCTCTTGGTCCCTCAACTGAATTTTTTTCATTTTGCTCAGTTAGTAATTTCCAGCGGTGGCTGGAAGTGATCTTGGTGGTAGCGGGATTAAAACTGGAAAAGCTATGGACATGAATGCAATTAACCCTTAAAATTTCTTACTAATTGATTATTTTGGATGTTCGGTCTATTGTTCTCAACTAGTCAACTCTTTTCTTTCCTCTAATAAAACAAATAAATGGAAACTCGATGTTAACTAAGAAGTCCTTGTTTGAGCTGCATTATTTGAAAAAAATTGAGTTTGGAATAGTACTTTTTGTAGAATGTGTAGATAAAAAGTAAGGAAAATTTTTGGGGTTTATGTGTAATATTATTTTATTGAAAAAAAAACGTGTGATTGATAAGAGGAGAGAGAAAAATGAATTAAAATTTAATGGGAGCCAAACATGTGCGAAATTATTAGCTACAAACTTTAAAGGGTAATTGACGCAAAACGTCTCTACCTTTGCCCGTCTTTGTGGAAAACATCCCTACCATTCGTTTCTTTACGCAGAACATTCCTACCTTTCACTTTTTTTTGTGCAAAACGTCATTTTCCCTAATTTTTAACGTAAAATGATCGATATACCCTCCAATTTAAATAAAACAAAAAGGAAAAGAAAAGAAAAATAAAAAATAAATTGCAATCTTACTCCTAAACTTTTTTAAAAAGGTGAATCAGTCCAAAACTTATGAAAAATGGGTGTTGGC